ACCAAGCAACCAAGCAACCAACCAACCAACCAACCAACCAAGCAATCAAGCAACCAACCAACCAACCAAGCAACCAACCAACCAACCAAGCAACCAATCAATCAAGCAACCAACCAAGCAACCAAGCAACCAAGCAATCAAGCAACCAAGCAATCAAGCAACCAAGCAACCAACCAACCAAGCAACCAACCAACCAACCAACCAAGCAACCAAGCAACCAACCAACCAATCAATCAAGCAACCAACCAAGCAACCAAGCAACCAAGCAATCAAGCAACCAAGCAATCAAGCAACCAACCAACCAACCAACCAAGCAACCAAGCAATCAACCAAGCAATCAAGCAACCAACCAACCAACGTTTAAAGGTCATCTATGTATGGGCCACTTTCTTTCGGGCTGCCGACGGCTGGTCCAGACCGGGCGGCTTTCTTTGGACCCGATCAGCACCGATCAATCTCCGTCGGTCTTCGGACCACTGGTGCAGCTAGAGGAAAACAGCTGGACGACCCGGGTGCCATTCGACCCGGGTCCATGTGAGTTTTCGGGAGTGCAGATTCCCCAAAAATTGCCAGCCGTTGGGTTTGGGGTCTGCTTTGCCCACCGAAAAGAGCTCTGAAGCTGCTCGAGAGCGCTGGACGAACCTCCTGCCAAGCAGAAGCAGAACCTGCTGCCAAGCGTCATAGGTATATCCACAATACTTCAGCAGTGGCAGAACCCGCTTGTTGATGGTGGTCCTTGGCAAAGTGAAACGCCTTCTCTAGCCTGTCTCCCAGGGCCCAGTTGGACGGCTCGCTTGGGCTGCTCCTTCACCCGACCAGGTGGGAACCGACTGGTTGACGAGCGGTTCCATCCGTTTCTCGTCACCACATGCACCGGCTCCGTGAAGGAGCCGAATCACTGGCTCTCCTGGACCTGAAAAGTACGTGACCGACCTCACTGGAGTCTCTGTGACCGTGACCTCTTTAATTAGGGACGATTCGTGACCTCAGCCACTAGGATCTCAAGTGAAGGTCACGAACTGAAGGTCCTGGCTGTTGGAGAAAAAGGATTTATTCATGTGGACTGTTCATGTTCTTTCCGCCAAATTGCAGATTTTGATACGACTTATCAACTTACTCAAAAAGGCGCGCGGCTTGAACTCAAGTTTGAACGCGAAGGCTTGGTTTCAATGCAAAGCTCCCCAAGTGGAGGTAAAGACTTCAGGACCACGAAAACGGCGGTGCTCCAGAGAAAATGCGCAAGTCAAGTCTCCGTTTGCTTCGACGTGGTTCAACTCGTTTTCTTCAATCAAACCGGCCCCCTACTGCCTCTACTCCTCGTGAAATGGGGGCAGCCACCATGCGATCATTCATCCTACCCGTATTTCACTGATATGAAAACGATCTTTCTTTGGAGCACAATCAAACTACCCAAACTCTGAACACGCACTGGTCGACCCTGAGGATTGTTCGTGAAATTCTTCATCCCCAACCGCACAAGGCTGTTTCGACCCAAGTGCAAGTCGGTGGCATCCAAACTGCCCTGTTCCTCCTGCAGGACTTGGGAGGATGAACATTCATGGAGGACGTTGGAAGTGGATAACAAGAAACCACCCTCCTCAACTGATCTGTGAAGAAACCACCCAGGTTCACCAAAGATCCATCCACCCTTCTGAACTGGTCGGTTCCGTCTTCGAAGAACAGTTCTACCATGGTGCTCTATCATTACTGGCAAAACTCGATCCCAAAAAGGCACATTCCAATTGTATTTCCAGTAGAACTGATGTTTCACTTGATTTCAGGCACCCAATAACGCAAGAAAAGAGAAACTCGGAAAGTGTCCGCTGAACCAACCATGCTCGCTCTCTACTCTTGAATAAAAAACACTTCAGGCACTCAAAAAGGCAATGACCTCGGAAAGTGTCCACCATGACGCTCGACGCTCGACACTCTCGTTGGACACCCAGCAGCTCTCCGACCGCTCAACCGCTCCCCCCCTCCTCCAGCAGCTCTTCGATCAGCGCCGCATCGCTCTTGGGCTCGGGGCCCAAACGATCCTCGACGGACCGCGCCGTCCGACCGCGCGGACAGCGTCGGAGGGGGTGGCACCGCGTCGCGGAGGAGAAAGGAAAACCGATGCGTCGCGAAGTTGGTATCTGAAAGCTGTATGGCAGGAAGCCTTGAGCTCAACGCTGTTGTTCTTCAGGAAGTCGCCTCGGCAAAGTGTCGTGAAGCAATGCCAGTGATGTCAAAAAGAAGCAGCAGCATCATTAGCATCGCTTGCACCAAAACTATCAGTGATGTCTCTGTCAAAAAGACGGCACCTGAACTCAAGAAAGCAAAAAAGAAACTAACATCATACGAATGTGATGAGAGGAACAATGCTTCCCAGCTGAAGAGAAAAACTCTTGGACCCATCAATAACCACTCACCAGCTCGTCGCTTCACAACCCAACCCCACCAAAAAGAGACGGACCTGAAACGTGATCCTTGCTTTTTTTGCCCACAAACAAACGCCTTTTTTCCCACAGGAAAATACAAAAGTGGTTCCTCGCCACTTCATCGGAAGACGCACTAGACCCTCTGCCCGTTGGGGAAAACGATGGTTGCGGTGTCCTCATGATCCTTCAGTGTTCCTTCAGCGTTTCTCCACTGATCCTCCCCACGTCCAGAGCAAGTGTCCATAGGGCTTCTTGGTGGCATAGCGCATCTTCAGCTCGGTGTCTTCGATCAATCTGCCCTGACGGGCGCTCGACTGAGCGGCGTGACCCGAATAAACCGGGCTGACCAAGGTCGTGAGCTCGTTGATTGGGGGAAGAGCGCTTCGAGCTTCGGTTAGTCTCACTCTGGTGCGAGGGGAAGTTCTCCTGATCCAATTTTTGAAGATCATAGCAAAAGGGCAAGATGACGCACTGGATTGGTTGAACTGGCGTAACTTCAAACTCTTCACAACAAGACAAGTTGGCACAAAAAGAAGTCTCCTTCTTTGCCGCCTTCAATGCTGAACACCTTCGAGTGTCCATTTGGTGCGATGCTTCAGGGCGCCTCTGCGAAGTCCACCAGCAACATCTTTCCAGGTCTCAAGCGGCCCTTGAACTGCACCTGCGCGGTGGTCGTCGCAGGAGGGGCGTGGTTTGGGCGCATAGGAACGCATGAACGCTCACCGCAGGAAGGAAGGAAGGAAGGAAGGAAGGAAGTCGCCAGGGCGGGCTGGTGAGGGTGGGGGGGTTGGGGAGAGTCTGAGACGGGTGGAAAGGAACCCGACTAGGTGAGCAGGTAGTCAGATATGAAAGCTTGCTACCCAAGAAAGCATTTCTCAAATATTCAAAGAATTCCGATTACGATTACCTGAGAAGGGAAAACAAAAGCCAGGAGAAACCAAGGCCCAAATGTGGGTCGAACCCAAGGCCCCAAAGCCCCAGCCAACGCATCGTCCGAGACGTTTGGATTTGGAAGGTCTGGAGAGGTCCAGGTCCGGACACCTCAAGGACTGGACAGAGGTAAGAACAGAGGTCAGATTCGTCCTTTCAAGTCGACAGTTCCAAGGAAGGCTCGAAGAAGTCAGTGGCATTGGATTCCCTTCCGAGGTCTGTTTGTGTGTCTCAAAAGTGCAATGATTATGAGTTGCATTCGGCGCATCACCAACTTACCCAAAATGGCATCCACCCACGGCGAAAAGCACATATTAGGTTTTGCGGGGTTACGGTCTGCTCCCCACCACTCACCTTCCTTCGACCCAGCCTGTGGGCTGGCTTTCCCAATTGTTTTGCAACTTGGCTTCAGTGAAGATGCGACAACAAGGGGGGAGTCAAGGAAAAGTACCCTTTCTATTGAATTTTCAGTCATCCCACTTCACCAAGTCAAGGTTTCGAGTCCCTTGTTTTGAGGGAAAAACACCTGGGTGCATCCATCTAACTTCATCCAACCAACAAGATCTCTCAGATCTCTCTCATGCAGACATCCCATCCATCAAGTTCTGATGGACCTGTTTCTTGGCACCGGCACCGGCGCACGGGAGCACCCATCAGTCGCTCGCCTCCTCCGGTGGGACATCCACCACTCCCACTTCAGAAGCCAAGATCAGGCGCTGGTCCTGCAAAATCACTTCAAGTGATGGTGTTGAGCTCTGATCCGGCCGTGTTATTATCTAAGTTGTTCACTGCGATTATCTATAGCTACAGTAAGTTGTTTTATCATCTAAGTTGTTCACTGCCAATCCGGCCGTGAACGACTCGAGTCCGCCAGTCGCTCTATTATCTAGGTTCAAGGTGCGTTTTCTTTTTGGTATGCTTTCAAGACATCTGGATTATCTGGTGCACGTCCCGACAAACATCCAAGCAACACCCAAGCAAAACCGCTGGAAGTATGGCTTCCCATCTCACCATCTCTCCACCTCCAGCATCCTCCAGCCCCAACTGCCCCCATCTCTCCGCCCACCTTGGTGATGTAGAAGCGCCCGGGCCTCAAGCCGTTGCGGTCCAGCGTGGCACCGAACTGGATCCCATCGGTGAAGCAGACCAGCGCGGGGCCGTCCCAAGGCTCCATCACCTTGAGAAACGCGTTGCGCCCGGCAGCCGGCAGCCGTCAGCGGGTTCCAGCGGTGGAGGCAGCAGCGGTGGGTGCAAAGCGGTTCGGAGGGGACCAAGCGCAGTAGCGAAGCGCTGAGGTGGCGGACGGGATGGGTTTGGGTGGCGAGGTTTGGGGAGAATTGGGGGGAGAGAATTGGGATGGGTCGAGATGGGACGATGTGGCAATTGGGGGATGGAGAGGCTACGAGCGCCAAATCGACATGCGCAGCAGTGTGGAGGTGTGGGAGTGGGTTTGGTATAGGAGTGGAGTTGAGGAGTGGGTGTGATATGTGGACGAGAAGTGGGTGTGACTGGGTGTGTTTGTGCGTGTGCGTGTTGGTTGCTTGGTTGGGTGGGAATGATGGAGGAGACAAGCGACGGAGAGTGACGTAAAGTCACACCTGTTGCACACGAGATTTTAAAGAGTCACAGGTGAAATTCATGCCCTTCCCGAATCACCACCCCTGACCATCGGAGATGTTGGCTGTCTTTCATGTCAGTTGGATGGTGATGAATGCTGCTTCAGTGGCGCAGGAGAGGTACTTGTAAAAGTCCTTCTTCTCCTTCTGCATCAGATTCCTCAGCAGCCACTTGCAACTTGCCAAATTTCTGAAAATGCCTGCTGACGAACAAACCTTTAAGAAACGCCAAAGGATGTACGCTTTGCTGATGCGGATGAACAAAACAAATAATGCTGGTGATGCTGAGCCAAAGAATTGCTTTATCCGCATCACATGATTCATCCAATTATTCCAATTATTCGCTCGGCACATTCTGAAATCTGTTCCTCCGCCTCCGTACTCGCCAAGCAAAAAAAGAAATCTCCCGCTGTCTTTTCATTGGAACCTAAAGCCCAGAACCTCAAAAACGCCTCAAACGCCGAACGCCTCAAACGCCTAACGCCTCACCCTTTGGCTTCTTCCTCACGTCGTTCCTCACCGAGGCACGTGTTCTGCCAGGCCTCAGGGATCACCATCATAATCACCTCCGCCAAGTCTCGGGTTCCTGAGGCGAAAAACCGCTGGGCGTCTCCGGCGGAAGCCCGCGGGATGGCGCGCCGGGAACCGGGAATGGCCATGGGCTGAGGAAGGGCGCTTCGGCATCACAGTTCGGGAAGTAAGCAAAGGTTAGGGCCGCAGTCTTTCCCTACCTCGTCCTATGGTGACGTGCCCCCCCAAAAAAAAGAAACGGCTCCGCACCTGCAGCAAGCAAGAGCTCGACGACGTTGTCCAACAATGCAGAGTCGCTGCCAATGTCCTCATCCACCGGGAAGAAGGCCTTGCAGCTGCGCTGCGCGTTGTGCACGAAACAAATAGGAACCAAAGCACCCACCAAAGAAGAGGACCAACGACACATCTCTGATGACACACTTCCAAAAGCCCAAGGACTTCGCCGCGCCTCCAGCGGTGCATCACCGAAGGCCTTGCTGTTGGTCATCAGTGCTTCACGCGTGCGGATGGAGTTCCGGTTCCCCGCCAAGGTGTTGATTTCGCCTCGGAGCAGGAGCAGCTGCTGCTGATCTAGGGTGCTGCTCTGGTGTGCTCGCTGCAGGAGGTGCAGGAGGTGAAGGAGGCGTAACATTGTAGGTGGTGAATCACTGTAGATCCCGAGATCTTTGGTTGGACAAAAGATCTGAGGAAGAAGGCGACTATATATATATATAATATATATATATATATAATATATATATATATAATATATATATAATATATGTATATAATATATATATATATAATAATGTCGGTTTCTTTGCAAAGTGTCGGGTCTTTTCATAGATGGTCTTTGCATTCGCAACCCTTTCAGCACACGGGAGTTCTTCTACATCGATCCAAGTGGCCATTGTGCGCGATCCGACGGAAGGGATGCGCTCGGTTCCAAGAGGGGAAGGAATTGGTGGAGAAGCGCGAGTGCACCTCAGGCAGCTCTCCGCTGAGATCAGGCAGCTCAGTGAAGATAAATCAAACAGGTCTAAGTCCAAGTCCTATCAGGGCCAAGACCTGTTTGGGGTTGATGAGTGAATCACTTTGGGTCCAAGTCTTTAGACCATCAGTCCTTCGTGCAGGTCGCGCCGAGCATCCAAGGCCAAGAACGCAGTGCATTGCTCTGACTTCCTTAGACCATCCCACTGGGGGGGGGGGGAGGGCTTTGAGCCGGGGCCAAGCACCGAAGGCGCGGTTCTGTTCTTCTGAAGGAGCGGTTCTGTCTGTGGATTCGTGTTGGATCTCAGAGCAGTTTCCAGCAGTGCGAAGCAACTTCTATTTTTGAATTCGAAGTCTAGAAGATCTTCACAATGGCAGGTGTTTAGGAATGCCGCGCGGGCGCAACACAAACGCCGCACTTGCGGCCAGCATCAAATCCATGTAGTACTCAAAGAGCTGATCCGGCTTGAACTGTCCTGCAGTTCAACAGAACTTCAACCAGGGCAGTTCAGCATGGCTAGTCCATGTCTTCGAGTGTGTGTGCCACTTATAGGAAAAGAAATGTCCATCCAGTGGCTTGCCCCAAGGAACTCCGAAGCAACTCGGCCACCTCCCCGCCACCTGCGGAACTCGGATACCCCACCATCCATCTCCCAACCTCCCAACCTCCGCACCCTCCATCTCCCCTCCCGCACCCCGTGTTGCAACACACACCCCGATAAGCCCGATAAGCTCGCTTTTTGACGCCGCTCAGCCGACCAGACTTGCCCCTTGCCGGCCCGATAAGCGCTCCGCTCGGCTCGGCTCCTTTATAGGTGATCGTCCGGCAGGACAAGGAGCACACGAAGACCTCCCGCGCGCGGAGCGCCACGGCGCGGCGCAGCAGGAAGAGCCGCGTCTCCAACGGAAGACCTCCAGCGGTCCCGACGTGTGGGCGCAGTCAGCGGTGCCCATGCGAACGCGTTCGGCCAGGGGGGGGGGGGGGTGCGGGGGGATTCGGGGGGGAGGAGGAGGGATGGGAGATGGGTCAAAACCTGGAGGAATGGAAAACCGCTTCACCAAGCGATACCGGTTCCGGTCGTGCCGGGTCGGTCCTCCCCAGTTGACCACACCAAGAGGCCCCTGGTAAGAAATAGAGAGGTCTCAGGGGGGCTGGCCGCTTGCTGGGGAGTGGTTTAGTGAAGAAGGACAAGGATCTCACTAACGAAGGGCGGAAGAGCTATTGAACATCACACCGTACGCCAATAAGGCATCACCCCAACAGAGGCGAAGCGCCGAAGCGCTTTTTGCAATTGTGAGGAGATCACCAATCCAAGACCAAACAGGTCGCAAGACCCAGCCAGACCCAGCCCCAGCCCCAGCCCCAAGCGAGGAAAGAGGGAGATCACTACCCAAGAGATTTTCCCCAACCAAAGAATTGGACCTCTGCACCTTTGCACCAAGAGTCCATCGTACTCGCCACTGGAGAGTGCCTCAGTCAGACATGAAGAAACTTGTTTGTAGATAACGATCAAAGCCAGAGCGGGTGTTGCCGCGTATCGAAGTGGCACTGGTACAGATCCGGGTTTGTTGGTCCACAGACTGGTTGCACTTTGGTCTCATATGCACCCCAACACTCGTGGCGAAGCAAGAGGCCAAGAAACCAAGATGCGAAAAGGAATCTCTTTGATCCCAAGATCAAGTGAAAGTCCAGGCTCGGCTGCTCCCCACCGCACTTTTTCCAGAAATCCAAGAGACTGACCCACAGTGCCACTGGAACGAACCGATATGTCGGCCACATGAAGAAACGCTGTTCCACTACACGGCTTCTCAGTGTATCCGGTGGTTGAAAAGGCTTCTTCCAATGACGAACCAGAACCAAAGGAGAACTGTGACCGGAAACCCCTCTACGTCTCGTCGGTCTGGTCTCTGTCCCAGGGTCACGTGGGCTTCGCCGCTTCGTTCGCTCGCTTCCGACCGGTCCCTAGAGGGCTCCGACCGGTGGTCTTCGACCCCCCCACAAGACCACCCACCCCGAACCGCCCACCGGGCGGCCGAACGGAGCCCACAACGGCGGGTGGCCGGACTGCCCCGGACTGCCCCGGACTGCCCTCGACCGCCCCGGACCGGACCGCCGCCGGCCGGAGCACATTGGCCTTGCTCTTCACAGCACTTTCCGCCGCCGAGTCCTCCCCAGTGTCGCCCATCCCGACAAAGACCTGCCAGCTGAGCGAAAGCTCGAAAGGGTCGAAGCCATGCGTGCGTGCGTGGGTCGAAGCGAACGAGTGCAGGCGTGCGTGGGTCGAATTGGGGGGCCGAAGCGAGTGTGTTTAGCTTCGGCCCAAGTCTGTGTCGTCAGAAAACCCCTCGAGGTCTTGAGGCTTCGTGATCGAGTCCAAGAAGGCACCTGCGTACCAAAAGCGTTTGGTTTTGGGGATGGTCCTTCTACCATGAGAAGGTACCCGCCTTCTGGCCCCAGGCCGAGCGGCGGAAGTCTGGCACCGAAACCCCCCTCCTCGCGGCGCGGGTGGGTTCACGTGCCTGGGCCACGAAGGGTTCGGTGGACTTGGCATAGGGCCCCAAGACCAAGGGGTTCACCGGCAGCGGCGTTCGCCAACCGATGACCTGGCGCCAGGGCAGACGCAAAGGCAGACGCAAAGGCACAGGGTTCAACCAGGCGATTGGGTGAAGAACACCAGGTGAAGACCCCAGAAGTAAGAACACCTCTAGCTGGTTGCCATCTGGGTGTCCAACTCGGTAGATAGTCAGCTACATGTATGTTATTAGGGATCCAGTCGTACCGAACCTCAGGTACGGCGCGACTGGACCCTCCTGGCACCCACCCCAGTCCCACCTTTTGAGAAGGTACGACTGGATCCCTAGGGTGTGTAGTTCTATACCTGCTGCTTCAGTTCGTCACTGCGGTCCCACGACCGGTCCCACGACCGGTCGGTCCCGGTTCCACCGTGTGGAACCGTCCCTGGCGCCAGTTGAAGGAAGCTCAGTCCCAGATGACCGAGCTTCTCGGCACGGGAGAAACAAGACTTTTTGAACTAAGACATGTTACTTTCTATCTATTTGGGGATCTATACTACTACTGATTTAGAATGGCGAGTGGCCCTGAAAATCGGAGAGGAGAATGTCCCAACGTGAAATGAACCAAAGAATGAGCCAGTCCAGTTACCTGCATGTGGACTGTGGAATCTGCAAGCCAAACCGTCCTCCTTAAAGTAAGGGGTCATTCACTTGAGGTGACTGATGGTCGTGCACAGGCCAATTGCTCCAACTACTCAATTCTCATCAATTCTTATGCCCAAATACAAACCATCTCCACCATCCAACCATCCCAAACCACTCGCAATCGGCTCACCACCGCCGGACACCATCCCTCTCTCCCTTTCCGGACCACCACGGTGGACCGTGGACCGTCCACGCTCCGTCCACCATCCACGCTCACGCTCGCGCCTGGAGGCCCAAGCGCCGGGCCATCCGTTCGACGAGCTTCACCGCATCTTCACGCTTGTCCTCCTAGGACAGCGATGGGGAGGAGAGCTGCTGCGGGGCACCGGGTGAGGTGAGCTGCAGGGCACCGAGCTACTGCAGTTCGTTGCAGTTAGTTGCTGTAGCTGCTACGAGTACGAGTACCCCCCAGCAAAAGCCCCAGCAACCATCCTAAAGCCATCGAAGGCTCCAGCACGACCACCCTCTTGGCGTGTGGGCGAATTCGACTCCTGGCGTGGCAGGAAGAGGTTTCCCACGCCATACTGACCCTCGGGAGGCAAGGTGAAGCCACAGCAACTGCGCAAGTACCTGGCAGCAGCCTATGGCCACTTACAGGATGACAACAGAGAAATGCCAAGAACTCTTCAGGGGGGCATGGCCGGAACTCCAAGCAGCCTGGTCCCGGTTTTCAGTTTGTGGACGTTCTTTTGCTTTTTGGGGGGGTCGCTGAGGTCTCTGTTGATCTGCCACATCTGCCACAGACCATGTCCCACTGTTCGGAACGTCGCACTCGTCGGGGACTGAGATCATAATGCCGACGCCATCTCCGTCATCCTGGCGCCACAAAAAGAGAGCTTCGATCGAACGAATCCCGCCGGGGAGTGGGGCACGCCGCGTTCTTTAAGGCTACAGCCGAAAAAGAGAGGACATGAGAGGACCATGGCGACCTAAACAGATCGCTTCGATGATCGGATGATGTTTCACTGATTCGGTGCACGGTCACAAATGGCATACACCTCTTGAGTTTCGGAACACGGAACGGTCGCAAAACAAAGCGTCCGCCCCGGAACCGGCGACGTCGCCCCCGTTTCGGGGGGGCACCATGGAACGACCCGAAACGTCGAAAAAGGAAGGACGACGAGACCATCCTTTAACAAAAACCTAGGATAAAATATCAGAAGAAAGAAGAAAGAATAAAGTTCAAAAAAATATGCAACATCGGCAAAAGAAGAACCATCCAACTCCCTCACACCTTCTCCCACACCGGAACCGGTCACGCCTCATGGGCTTGCTTAGCCCCACGATGCGTCATGCGCACGGCCATGTCCCGGGCATCGGTCAAGGTCTTCCGGGACTTCTTCCGGTTCATGTCCATCACTGCGCCCACGCCACATGCATCAGACTCCAAGGACGGGTCATATAAACCCTGCTTCTTCGGCGTCTGGTCCCAGTGTAGCGCCATCGACGTACGGTGCAGCCGGTCCTGGACCGACGTACGGTGCTAAGGCCCGTGGTGAATCGATATATGGCTGCGGAGACGCGTAGAGTACGAATCAGACATGCCAAGCTCCGAACTGGTCAACCATGTTTAAGCTTTTCAAGAAACTGGAAGGAGAACCAAATCGAGCAGTGTGTTAGTTCAAACACCATCTCCAGGATCCTCTGCATTTGATGCCTAGTCTGTGTCTCTCCGTTTTGGCCCTTTTCGCCTCGGCGACGCGGAGCCGAACGCTCGGCTGCGAGAAGGAGCAGCTGGTTGGCGGCAGGCCGTGTTGGACAGGACGCACAGGTTTGAAACCACTGAGAAAAGCGGGGGTGAAAGCGGGGGTGCCATCCGTTCGCGGAATTCATGTCCAAAGACTCGATGCGATGCAGAAAAAAAGGACGGCCAGTCTGGCAGTTAGGGGTGAGCTCGTCGTTGAGCGGTTCCGCCTCGACAGAAAAGCAGACCTCCGATATGGGGTTAGGGATCATCTGCCAGCTGCACCAACGAACTAGGGGTGAAATAATGGCCTGTACAAGAGCTCATTGAAGCTGGCAGTCTGTGGATTGGAGAACTTCCTGCAGGCCAGGATCTGAAGGCGTGTGCGTCTTCCCAGGGTTGCTTGTTTCACTTCAAGCGCATGTCCACGCGCGTGGGGTGCTTCGCTAGACCTCAAATCACCACCACAGGCCAATGCCTGAACGAACAACGACCTTACCGAGCGAGTACGAGTACCATGTCCTGAGTGAGCTTTTCGGGGAGGTTTGCCTTTCTATACAATGAGATTCCTCTAAGAAGGATAAACTGATTTAAAAATTGTGAAATTGCCCTGGGTGAACCACACAAAGAATGGAACAAACAAATAGTAGTAACACTCCTTGAAATAATCAAGGACACGTGATTGATATTCGGTAAATCTGGTAACAACCGCGGGGCCCGGGCCATTTGCCGCTTCCATGACTATTTCAGGGATTGTACTCCTTTACACATCTCAACGCTTGGGGTCAGGCCCACATCACACACCAGAATCTTAGGGCAAGGTGCGTCATTTCCAACAAGCGAGGCGGACAGACGGACAATGCCGATCAGTGTCCATTTTAGATTCTCCAGAATGAACACCCCAGCAGACTCCGTCCGTTGTTTGGTGTGGCCAAATGGGTGCTTCACCAGAAGCCCATGCACGAGCCTTTCTCACGCCACCCATGGTGCGTGGTCTTCACCCCAAAACCCTCCGACAGTCCCAAGACCGATAAGGGTGGTGGCTAGAGGCGCACCTCCAGGCGCTTGGAGCCAGTCACTGCCTAACTTGGCCTGGAAGAAAGGGGCACAACAGCGAACCCAGCAAAAGAAGCAAGATCTGCCTAGCCTATCCCCAGAATAGATGCAACATCTGCCTATGTCTTGGCGTCTTTGTATCGCCTCTTTGCTGGAAAAAGACCATCCGGAAGATGTCCGGTACGTGAAACGACGCACCCAGACGTTGTTGTCCCCCAGGTGAAACGCCCGGAGGATGATCGCAGCTTCTCCGCCATCGCTTGGGGGCGAAAAGCGTTCTCTGCTGGGGTTCGCTGACCTAGATCAAGGAGTACAGTATCTATGGTGGATTTTTTTTCATGGGCCACATGTGTTTCTGTCACGTGGGTTTCAGTAGTGATTGTGTTCTTTCGCTATATATTCCCATTTGCCTTGCTTACTTCTGGCGGCCATCCTGTTACGACCTGGCACAATCACCCCAAACATTTTTGCTGCGCAGCATGTGTAGCTCCGCTAGCGGCACTTTTGGCCACTCGAAGACATCGTAACGTTGTCGTGGCCTTCGTAAGTGTGTGTGTGCGCCTTCAAACTGTGGTGCCCTCAGCACTGTTGTGCTGAGCTTTTAGTCTATTCGTCTGCTTACCTGTGCTTACTTTTCCTTTGGTACTGTATCTAGTGAATCTAGTGATTTCTTTGAGGCCTCCGTGTTGAAACACACACCCAGGCAAGATCTGAGTCTTCCATGTTGCTCAGAATACAAAATCATCCCCACAGCTCCTTCTCCCATCCAGGCGTCTCCAAAAAGATCTTCACGCAATTCACATACTGCGGTGCGCCTGGTTCAAACAGAAAGAAGGCCGGGAAAGAGGAGTAGAAACGGATCCAACATCTGAGGAGCTCCATGGAGTTGGGTGGTTTGGCTCATCTCATCCCAGTGTATGTGACAGGGGCACAACAGCGCCCCTCAATTTAAAAAAACACACCCATTCCTCCATGGAACTGCGAAGAGCGCCGGGCATCTAGCGCCGGTGTTTCAGGATTGTTTGCAGGAGATTTGTTCTGGGAGATGGCTATGGGTCATGGCCACAAAAGAAACGGTTTCGGGCACAACCAGCCCCCCTGGTGTCGCTCGTAAGTTCGCTACATGGTGGACTGACCGCTGGTCGGGCGAACATTGTTGTGTTTGACCTATCCCCAGATGTTGATGGCGCCAATGGTGAAGGTATTTGTCCACCCACCTATGGGAAAGGCCAAGCAACTCTCTAAAATCTTCGACTCATCCAAATGGGTGTGACCCTGGAACAAAACAGACTACCCAAACCTCTGTCAAAACTTTGGCTAGTGGGACTCCGTTGGACTTTTAGGATTTCGCGTACATCCACTCGCCCACGGCCACATAGACCGAACTCCGCTCGGGCGGTAGCCATTCCACCAGCGCAATGCGTGGGAACCACGGGAACCCGCGAGCTTCGGCGAAGCTCGGCCGGCCTTTCTTTTGCGCAGGGAAGATCACCGTGTTCATCATGGTGGCAAACTCCATCTGCTGAATCATCGAAGCACTCTTGTCCTGATAGAAGTACACCGTGCGCGTCCAATTCGTCTCGTTCGGGCCAAGAGAGGTCAAGTTGTATTGGAATCCTCGGCTTTGAAAAAGCCTTGGCACATATCACAAAAAATGAGATCGGAGAGAGAAACATGTCCTTTGACAATGTCCACTTTTCATGGAGCAAACAAGAAAACACGAAACAGTGCATCATCAAAAATGGAAAAGTTCGGCCATCCCAAGGCTCGCCCGCCAATGGTGTTGATGGAGTTCTGGGCGATCAAATCACCCACTGTGAAGATCATGGCTCCGTCAAAGGTGGCGAAAGTCGGGGGCTCATAGTCCTCCACCTCTTTATGGTTCTGTTCACTTTACTTTGTTTCTTCCTCTTCAAAAAGAGAAACGTACAAAAACCACCACCACCACCACCACCACCACCGCCACCACCACCACCACCACCAACACCACCTGCGAGAGGGGAAGCAAGAACGTACAAATTTAGGACCGGAGTCTTTCTTTAAAGGGAGACAGGGACCGTGCAGAATTTCTCGGCCACGCATTTGGATCCGCCCAAGGTCAACTTTGAGGGTTTCCATTCTCCGGACAGTAGTTCGGACGGAAAAAAAGAAATCGAGTAATATGTGTTTTTGGAAAATAATAAAGACATGTAATTCAAAAAAACATTTTAAGAAATACTCCCTGGTATTTAAAAAAGAAATCTGCTGTGCTTCGGTCCGAATCTGTCTGCCAAACCAAATCGATGATGTAACGATCCTGAGAAAGCATCTTGAAACATCTGTCCGACGAAATGGTTTGAGGAGATTCCCCTGAAATCCATGTGAGGCAAGAATTTTCATCACGCACCTGGTAGCGGAATAGGGAGTACATGGCACCGGCCCACAAGAACTTCTCCAAGATCATCCCCTTTGGTGTTTCAGGTGTGAAGGGTGTGTGCGAGAATCCGCCGACACTCAAGGTGTTGGGATAGCACACTGGCCACATATTGGAGGTCATAATGGCATCAAAGACCTTCTGTGCCGGCTGCTTAATACTGATGGTGGTCTGCAAGGTCCAGAGGGATGATTCCTTCTTGTTTTGCCACTTTGGCAGAAGATCCTCAGTATACCATGACATGTACTCGGCCGTCTGTTCGGCTGATAGAATGGTGGTGGATCCGTCCAAGGGCCATTCCTGTGGCATTTTGGACTTGATGGCACTCTGGAGCAAAGATGCATCTGACTGATCGCACTCACCTTCAGGGCCTTCACACTGCTCAGAGGCACTGGCCAGCATTCCAAACAGCACTGCCACCAAAAGAGTCATGTTGAGACGGTCAGCAATCCTTTTCAGCTACCGAGCGAGCGAGCTTGAGATCGGCGGCCACGGAAATGGTGATGGCCAGCAACAACAGGCACCAAACAACCCCACTTCTGTGGAATCTGAACCCAACTCCCTCTCCAAACAATTTGATCCAGCACTTTAGCTGCACTCTGTCAACCATCCACACAACAAGGGGAGTTGTTGATCTTGTTGCCACTTCAGCCTTTGCTCGCCCTCAAGGATGCAAAATGTATGGAACAAATCGAAAATACAAAGGTACGGTCATGTTCTGTTGGGGTTGAAACCTGATTTTACTAATTTGTAAATATTGATACACATGTACGAAGATCCATGAAACCAATCTGCAGGCACAGAACAGCCTGGGTTTCTGAGTTCCGGGCAGCAATTTCGGCCGCGTTCGGATGGCAGGTCGCTCTCCAACACCGAGGGTCTGCACGCTCGACTCGAGCCAGCTGCAGTGAAGGCTACGTCAACCAGTTGTTCAAAGCCGGATCTTCGTGGAAAAAAACATCACCGATCTGGCCACACAGTTGCCTTTTCAAGCCAAAATTGATGTTTTTGAAAAGCACCCTGCAAAAAACGGCTCACAATTTGTGTCCATCAATGTGCCTGGTTTTGCAGTTTAAAGCCATATTCCAGTTCAGGCCTCTTGCATTGAACAAAAGTTTGGAGTTTAAATCAAACCAACAAATTTTTGTTAAACTGCCATATGGTTGCACGTGCTACTGCTTCTCCATCGAATGGTTGCAAACACCGGCATAGACCACAGACAGCAACTGACTCTAATTCAAAAGCGAAACCACCTCAAACAAATCCAGTCAAAAAAAAGTCACAATCCATGAGACCTTCTGGATCTACGAATGGGCCCAATCAAACGCCAATCAAACAGGCAAGCCAACTGACGAAGTCTCACGTTTCGAACCGCACAGAATGATGAACACAGAGAGGCACCACTCCAAGAGGCAAACAAATTATAATCCCTATACGGAGGTGTAAGTGGTGAGCCATTCTCCTCACCCTACATTTTCACACCCCTTCTTGGATCCCTACTTGCACTACCTCTACCGCTATCTACCTTTGCTGTCTGTTGTCTTCTGTTTTCCTTCTTCCTTCTTCCTGTTCTATATTTGTCTTTCCTTCTTCTATTGGTGTTTCCTTCTTTTTTATTGATTTTTTTAATTTTCATTTTTGTCATCATGTTTTCTTGTTTTTCTTATTGTGTTTTCTTTTTCGTCCTTTTCTTCCTCTTCTTCCTCTTTTTCCTCTTTTTCTTCCTTTTTTATCCTCTTCGTCTTCTTCTTATTTTTGTTTCGTGTTTTTTTGTTGATATTTTTATTTTGTTTCATTTGTTTTTTCCTCTTCTTCCTCTTCTTCCTCTTCTTCATCTTCTTCTTCTTCCTGTTCTTCCTCTTCCTCTTCCTCTGCCTCTTCGTCTTCCTCTTCCTCTTCTTTTTTTTCTGTTTATTGTTCTTCTTTTTGTTTTTTCTTTGTTTTTTTTATTGTTTTTTATGTGTTATAACGTGTCTTTTTGTTTTTTGTTTTTTATTTGTCATTTTTTCATTTGTTCTTTTCATTTTCATTTTTTGTCGTTTTGTCTTTTTATTTTTATGTTTCCATTTTTTCTTATTTTTTTTCTTCTCCGTTTTCTTCTTCTTTGTTTTCTTTCTTCTCTTTCGTTTTCAACTAAGCTCATCAACTAAGGCCCCAACCTTGGCATCCAACGGTCGTCAACAACAACCCAACAAGCTTCAAGCCATTCCGGGCAACACCGCAAGCAACAAGCATTTGCAAGGATCTCTCAGAAACACTTTGTAGTCACACAGTTTGATTTTTTCATCAACTACTTCTTATCAGCGAGGTCCTTGAACGATGAACGTTCAAGAAAAAAGAAACCTGACAGACAACGAAGCGGACGCACCGGAAAAATGTAAGCCCCAAGCCTTACGCGACTTCGTCGAAAATTCTGGAAAATCCGCCTTGCCATAGAAGATATTGTCTCTTTCCGTTTGGTGTCTTGCAAACCAACTAAGCTAACTGGCGCCTCTCTTTTTCGAACTGGGGGTTGCACGCTCCTCATCAGGCTCGGGTTTGGCCTGAAAGTGAAGGTCTCGCTTTCATCTTGAAAGATTTGGTGTGGGTGGGTGGGCTTTTCAGAGCATTGACCGTTCGGTCAGCGGAGCCCGCCACACCCTCCCTTGAAACAAAATGTCACGAAGGAAAAACATCATTCAAGACACCCGAAACTTCTCGTTTCTAAAACGAAGTAGAGACAACACGATCTTCTTCGAAGAGCTTAGTCGTCTCTTTCCGTTTGGTGTCTTGCAAACCAACTAAGCTAACTGGCGCCTCTCTTTTTCGAACTGGGGGTTGCACGCTCCTCATCAGGCTCGGGTTTGGCCTGAAAGTGAAGGTCTCGCTTTCATCTTGAAAGATTTGGTGTGGGTGGGTGGGCTTTTCAGAGCATTGACCGTTCGGTCAGCGGAGCCCGCCACACCCTCCCTTGAAACAAAATGTCACGAAGGAAAAACATCATTCAAGACACCCGAAACTTCTCGTTTCTAAAACGAAGTAGAGACAACACGATCTTCTTCGAAGAGCTTAGTCGTCTCTTTCCGTTTGGTGTCTTGCAAACCAACTAAGCTAACTGGCGCCTCTCTTTTTCGAACTGGGGGTTGCACGCTCCTCATCTCCCCCATCAACAACGTGCAGGCCACTGTTCGATTCGACTGTTGAAACCAAGCTCTGAAAACACAGGCGTGCACTATCAGAAACATCTGCCTCCGGGACGAGGAGTGGATGTTGGGAAAGCCTCGAAGGAAAGTCAGCAATGTTTGCTTCAGTCGGGACACGAGCAAACCAAGCGCGTGAGTGCAGACTTGCTTCTTTCTCAAGATGAAACTTCATGATCGCTTCACCGCAAGGCCCTATGGCAGTTCCTCTGATCAGCGCATATCTCACACTATCATTGTCTCCAAACCATGTGGTCAGGTTACCAGCCAGAAGATCGCCCCAATAGGAAAGGGCATGTACTGCAGCTACCAACTCAAGCTCATAAATAATGGACTGTTTTGTTTGGCAACCGAACGTCTTGCACATTTCTTCATTGAGAGGAAAACCAAACCATTGTATACAAGAACAAGCTTGGTCCACCAAGACTGCACCCACTCCACCAGTCAATTCTTCCATGTTGTAAGCAGCATCAGTGTAGACGAACCATTGCAGGAGTTCCTGGTCCGAGATCTGCACAGGGTGTCCCGCTTCAAGCCTTGTCTTCATGGCCAGCAGAGCATGTTTCGTGCTCTCGTCCAAAGTCCTCTGGCGAGAGTAGGCATGTTCAAGCAACTTCTTTAGGAGTATCTTTCCAAGCCTGCCATGCAGAAAACTGTCAGCAAAGCTCAAACGTCCTTTTAGCACAAGCGTCTCATGTTTCGACAGCTGTCCTGCAAGCAGAACTTCGGAAATCCTAGAAACAAGATCAAGCCTTCTCTGTTCCGTATTGTAGATTTGGACGATCCTTCTCTCTGATCTGCTCAAATTAAATTCTACCCCGAGTGCTCTGCAGGTGGTCTCAAAAAAGCGTTGCCTTCTTTCCATCACGGGCAAATTCCCAACCGGTCAGCATAAACAAAACTTCCATTGCCAGGTCTGCTGACTTGCAACTTTCAGGTTTGGACAGCAACACGAAATCGTCATAAAAGTTCGTGTTGAGAACATACAAACCTCTAGCAGCAATGCTGTGAATGAGTCTCGCCAGTCGAAGGAAGGAATAAACCGAGTGCGTGGCCCCAAAAGGCAGGGCCAGCAGTTGGTAAATCTCGGGCTTTCTTTCTTCGCAGTTGTAGATGCTGAAAAAGGCATACTTTAGGTGTTGGCTTTGTATGGGCACCTGTCTATAGGCACTCTTGAGATCGAAGGTCTTGGCCAGAAGCCGGCTATCACATTCTTTCGCACCGCAAGCTTGAAAATATCTCCGGATGACCGCTCCCAGCGTGTCGATCATGTGCAGGTCAATCTTGGAATGAATCGTGCACGAATCATTTATGCCACTGATGGAAAAATCATCGATCATTCGGACTTTGTTTGATTGCACAAGCGGGAACCTACGAGAAATGACAGCACCCTCTGGCAGGGTGTCCAGTTCAAAAGGTCCTCTAGCCCATTGCTTTTCAAGCTCAGCTCTAGTTTCGGCCAATACTTGCTGATCCAGAGCTTCGTCACCGCAGCTACAAGTCATCGCAAGAATGGCCTGATTCCGGCGCTTTGCACCACCTTCCAGCTGATCAAGGGTCATCAAGCACGGTTTGAACTGTTGTTCAAAGATGCAGCAACTCTCAATGCGGCCCGCCAAAGTGGAGCCCTCGCGCAGAATGTTTAATGCAGCTTTGTCTTCATATTGTATGCTATCCAAAATCTCATCCGTCAGCAGCAGGCGTTTCGACGAGGTGCTGTGTCTCACATGTTCAGGCCTGGACGACCTGTCCAGGCTTTCTGCAGCATCAAGCTCTTTTGCCCTCATCAACCAATGCTTTGCCCAATCCGATCTATATTTGGACATCTGCTCATCATTCCAAGCTAAATTTCTGTCAATGGCAATTTGGAGATCTTCTGGAATGCTCATGTCGGTCAAGGCTGGGTGACCGGCTGTCACCGCCTTTTCAATGAACTTTTCCGGCTCCCATGGCAAGCCAAAAACAGCTCGAAAAGGATACAAGCTAAGGTCGGCACCAGATTCGGATTTTCCAGCTGTCTCGGATTCCTCAAGCCCCCCTTTTAAAGAATCGGAGGCAGCAAAAAGGCGAAGCAGCCGTGCATATTTGGGGATCAAAAGAAGTTGAAGCTCAACGGACACAAGGTGCAAATCATTTTGAGCCTTGCCGAGGACAGGGACTGGGACTTCGGATTTGTCCTGAAGGACAGCAACAACGATTGCATCGAAATCTGGAACCAACGGTGGTATTTTCTTTCGAAATGGCTGCAGTCCAACACTAATTTGAGCCTGTTGTGCATGCAACAACGGATGCTTTCGGATTTCGTTTAAGGTCTGGGGCAATAGGTGAAGACCTTGGGAAGCAGCTTTCTGCAAGATTACCTGAACAGTAGCTAGACACAGTGGACGAGTGTACTGGCTCTCGAGGCTCGTTGCCCAAACACGCTTTCCTTCAGGATTGTGAGCAAACCTCCAAGGAGCATGGGAGTGCTTTCTATCGCACTCAACGGACAACTCAGCCACTTCCGGAAAGTTTGCGATGAACCGTGTCCACTTGTCTCTGGAACCACCATACATGCACACTTGAAAATCAGCACAATAAAGTTCAACAGTCTTCCACAATTGCAAGAAATATGTGGTGCACCAAAAATATGAATTCTTTGGATTCTCCATCGTTGCCAAAATTCCACGTTTCGTGGCCTCAGCGAAGATGCGGCGCGCAAAAGAAAACAACTTGTTTGCTATGTTGACCCTGAGCAAATCACGTCCTGCCAAGTCTGGAAAACCATTCGGATGTTCATTACTGCGCAGGGGAGGCGGATCATTTGCTGAAACCTGGATATCCCGTGCACGGCTAGCAGTGCCGCACACAGGAGCTAGATGCACCCAAATGAGCAGCCCCGAATCAAGCCAAGCATCAACAAGCGAACTATCAGCTTCACGCGTTAAATCTAGCCTAATGATGCTAGAAAAACAACCATGCTTCTGTGTCTTGTCGACGGCAATGCTGTTGTAGAGCCCTTGTTGCTTAGCAACTGAACAAAGCACTGCCGATCCTGCAAACAATTCCAGCATCCACAATTGTCCCACATGCATGCCTTGCCAGGCACGTGGGACAAGGGTCATCCTAATTCACCGCCCATGCTCATGCAGCGGGTGAGGCTGTTGGCATTTCGGCTCGGCACAGACATGCAGCCCTCGGCGACACTTTTCGCCAGCTTTCACGTTCTTCTCTGGACAGCCTTGTGTGGTATTGTACCCAAAACAAATTGGGTCTCCTTTTGGCGTCTTGTGCCATTTCCCATGAAGATCACGTGGCATAGGTGGATTGCTTTTCCCACCCTTGCCTGAACCCTTTTTGCCTTTTCCCTTTCCTTTCGAAATGCGATCATGCCAAGTCGACTCGTAGGGTCCAGTATTGCGTCGGCTCGAATCACTCTGCGTCGACCCATGTCTTGCTAAGGGTGCCAAAAACAAAGTAATGTATGGATCGGATCTCAAAGCCAAAAGAGCAACACCTAATGGATAACCTCCAAGCTGGTCCTGCCTAATGCTGTTCACTGTACTGCCTAATCTTGCCCAGGCCGCTCTATCACATTGCAGCAGTTGTGCCACACTCGGTCGGCTGTATCCAGGTGGCGCATCACGGTGCAGGGCCTCGAACAAGAATGTTGCCCATTCTGAGTGTTGAGCATGCGACATCAGCTTGGCGAATTGAAGAGCGATGCCACGTCGGACAAGGGCATTGTGAAGCTTGATCTCACTGTCAGTTGCACCAGTCAACTGGTCCTGATTTCTAAGAACCAAGGATCCTTTTTCCAAGCTCAGTTCACGACTTTGCTTTGCACCTTGCACTTCCAAAGTCCTGCTGACACATGTGCTCGGCTCCAAGTACACCACGATGTTCTTTTCATACATGGAACAAGCCTTGTCCAAAAGCAGATGCGATGGCTCAAGCTCTCCTGAGATGTTCACACCTAACAAAGCCGTCTTTATTGCCTGCATCCTCGAAGCTCTCTCGTTCCGGGGAACCGAGTCGTCTGTCTGCTCAATGCTCTGGCGTAAGGACGCCACCAAGAACGTCTGTGCTTCGAATGCTAATCTCTTGACCGTCGAGGTCTCCAACAACGATGGGGCCCTTCCTAGGGCTGTCTGCAGGAATCCTGTGATGTCGTCATTGGCCAATGGTTGATTTGGCTGGCCTACTGCAAATGCTAATCGACTAAGAGTATCCACTCCACTTGCCTTAATGGCGTCCAGCACTGTCTGTGATATCCCACTCTCCAGCAGCCGAGCATCAAAGTGAGCGGTGCTGTCAACGACAGTTGCCATGCTTCGGTTCTAAAGGACTAGTAACAAAAGGTAGGTTGGCCATAGAACACCAATCAAAGAAAGCACAAAACTTTGATCCAAAGTATTAAAGGCTGAGGCTCGCACAGTTGTTTGTGCTGTCTAGTTCAGCTCCTTTGAGCTCAAGTGTGAATACCTTATTCCGTTTTAGTTTTGCTCCTTTGAGCCTGCACCGCTTTCGGAAAACAGTTTTGAGACACTTCGTCTCCATTGTGCAGCTTTCTGCAAACACTCAATGGCCACTTTGGCAAACAAAACATCTTGGACTCCTTTGAGTGAAGGCACTTCGCATGTTTCTTTTGCAACGCGGAGCACTCTTCGTGCAACATCCTTGCTCTTAGAGCAAACTTGCTTCTTTTTCCCCTTTGGGGCAGCAGGTTCACCACTAGGTTAGAGAACCAGGAGAAACGCACAAACTAGCTTAAGTGTCTACAAGCGTTTAAAGCTGAAAACACACAAGACACAGCACAAGCAGCACTCAAACCGGTCGTTTGTTTCAGGTTTAAACGTTTGTTTCAGGAAGCCGTTTATCAAACAAGAAGTAAAGAACGTACAAGCTATTGCGCTGCACTTCTCCTGGCCTTCCGAACTCTCTCTAAAGCTTTGTCCAGGGCTTCGACTGCGTCCTCACGGCTACGCACTCGCCCTGGATCATTTGGGAAGCACCTCAAACACTTTGGATACCTGAAGTTCAAGGTACGGCCCAATTCCTGAAAATTTTCAGTTATCTTCATTTTGCATACAGTCACTTGCTGTTCATTTCGGACTGCATGCACACGAAAGCTTTTCACATGTTTATAAAAGGTCAACCCTTCAGGCACTGCTTCGGTGTATGCAGCACGTGTTTCAAAAGTTTCAGCCAGCGGCTCATCGCTGCTCGTGCTGCTCGACTCACTGTCACTGCCAGACGAGCTATCAATCTCGATCAAGCCAAGTTTGACAACACTTTCTGGAAACAGGCTCAAGCTATCTGCTGAGGCAGCAACGTCTGTAGCAATGTCCATCTCTTCCTTGACGCTAAGCTGGTCTTCATGGTCCTGAACAACCTCTACAGCATCCTGAACAGGGTCAGATTCTGGCAAAACACGTTCAACTGGCAATACAGGTGTCCGTGCTGCACAACCATGAATCCCAAAACCAGGTCCAGGTGTACCCACTGCCGGCGTGACACCAGCAATGTTTCCTCTGTCAGCGATTTCCTCAAGGCCCATGCCAATCCTAATCAACCTGAGCAGCATCATCAGTTTCCGAATTGGCCTGGCTTGCAAATGACGAGCATACACTACTTCTGAACCACTTACAGCACTGCAATGATGCCCAAGCACTGATCGAACTTCCTTGTCCATTCCAGACCTTGCACACCAGTCCAAAAGGGTAGCCTTCATGGAATGGGAGCGAAAAGATTCCCAATTTGAAGTTCCCTTCAAAAGACCTCGCAACCAGGCAGCAGCTTCAGATGTGGCCAAGGGCCGTGCGCAGAATCCACCACCGGATCTGGGTGCTGGTAGGAGAGGACCTTGTGAATATTTAGCCCAACCTGTTGATAAAGATCCAGGAAAATCTGCAACCAGTTTTCATTCGTCACTCCATCCCAAGGGACAACAAATGGCAGGTATTGTTCCTTCTTTTCGCCAACAGCGGAAGTCTTGTGTTCAGTTGTGTACAATACCAGGCAGCCGTTTCTCTTGCTTTCGATCTCAACATGATGGATGAATCGTAGATCACTCCAGCGTGCTCGAGCATATGTACACAAAAGCATGCAACCTGCCCCAACCTTGTCCACAATGCTATCAGCGCTCAACAGCACTGAATGAAGACGCCTGAAATGTTCAAGCTCCATAGGAGGGGCCTGATGTGTTGGAAAGGATATCAAGCCACTTTGCACAAGCCAAATCTGTCTGCTGTCGTTTGTTTTCAAAATAGTCCAAGTCCTGAATGTCCTTCACTGCACTCAGAAAAGCAGCATCTGTACAAGCTTCAACTTCTCCGCTGACCGAGATTTGATTTCTATCTTCAATCTGTTTTGCAGGCAGTTCCAAAGCTAAACCATGCACTTGTGGTAAGTTGAGGCCCAGACTGTTGTGAAAGATTCCCTGCATCGAAGGTTGTTCCCACGGAAGCTTCATGGCAGGGTCCAGAGCTTTGTGACGTTCGAAGGCATGATTCACAGTCAGTGCCCAATCAGTTTTGTCTACAATGCATGCATTCGTACCTGTATTGAAATCAAAACTCTCCTGAGCAGTTCGATCGATGAACTCAACTCCATCTTCATGAGCCTCATCCTGCGTGTCGGCATCTAAACCTGAGTCCGGGGATTGATGGCGTGCCAGGTCCTGAGACGTGTAGCCAGCAAAACCTGAAGCAGACGAGTTCAAATGTTCAATATCCTCCTGAAAGGAGAAATTTAAATCTTCCAAATGCAACGGGTCAAGTTCAGGTAGCACTTCATCGTCCTCAACATCCTCAACTTCAATCAAATCCATGGCACACCCCCCACGCTGCTTTTCAGAGCATTGACCGTTCGGTCAGCGGAGCCCGCCACACCCTCCCTTGAAACAAAATGTCACGAAGGAAAAACATCATTCAAGACACCCGAAACTTCTCGTTTCTAAAACGAAGTAGAGACAACACGATCTTCTTCGAAGAGCTTAGTCACGTTGCCCAAAAATTCCCAGTCAACATTTCAGGTCTTGCATCATCAGCATCACAAGCCTCCCGCCTCCTCCCGCCTCCCGTCATCAACCAACCACCACCAACAAATTGTCACCATTTGTCATCAACCAATTGTCACCAACCAACTGCCACCAACCAACTACCACCAACAATTAAGACAATTCTCGCGAAGTGGAATTCACTCCAACCCTTGCATCCAATCTTGCAATCACTAATTCCAGTTCCAGATTAAATGGACTCCACCCATTGGTTCCAAAGTTCTCACTGTGCCCTGGAGAAAACTCACCAGCTGGCCACCAACAGTCGCTTTCAGAAAGTGTCCACAAGAGTGACATGAGTGTGCCACAAGAGTGACACACAAGAGTGTGTTGGAAGAGGTGTCCCGCAAGAGAGTTGGAAGTCAAAAGTGTGCTGAGTTCCCTGCAAGATCTGCAAGAGTCTCTTGGGCATTACTTGACATGTGAGGAATGGAACCACTTCACTTCGGTCGTCTAAATTGTTTTCACACCACGCAAGGCACGACGTCCAGCAAGGAAATCGACCAGGCGGTTGTGGCAACGACTTCTCCGATTTGCTGAAAACATCCCTGTCCGCTTTTTTTTTTTGCACGGGTACGGGCGCTATGTGTGCCGAGAGGCACAAGTCACCTTGATTGAATTCGATGAGCTAACAGAGAAGATACGAGCCAGGGGAAGAACAAAGCACCGCAACAAACAAACCAAAAAAAAAACCAGCACCCCAAACAAAACCGAAACGGAGCTGGCTCGTATCCGCATGAAATGCGAGAAAAAGGTGAAGATCCGGAGATCGACCACGGAGGTGAAACGGGGCAGTGAATTCAAGATCCTAGCAACGCTCAGTACAAGATGCCCATCATCGAACAGCTTTCTGCCTTATGGGTAGCTGGTGTAACCACAAGTGGATGTAGTGCCTTCAGTCATTATCGAGCAAGACAGGATGCAAGTGTGAGTTGCTTTCTCGAGCAGTATCGGAGCCAGGCAAGACGGAACTTGTATCAAAGATCACGACCGAGCCCATGCTAAAGTGAAATGCTCCTAAGTAACAACGACAGTGACGAAAGCTCCTCAATGCCTGCGCTACAAAATTCCAGCTTGCTCTCGGCTGGTTGCGGAACAAAATTCCACTTGCTCTTGGCCTCTGCTTGCGAATTGTAAGGTGTCAGATATGAGCCAAAGCGAAGGTAGGATAGACAGCAAGCATCTCTACCTCACTACATACGGGACGAGGCAAGACAAGACAACCAGGAGGTTGTATCGAGCATGCTTGATCATTTGGACCTTGTCTCTATTCCGGCCTCTATTCCTATACCGGCCTCTGTTCCAGGTTATGAGGGGCATGGCACTTGAGACCCTTGGGAAGAGCATGCGAAAGTGAAAGAAAGGTCAGAACCCAGGGGATCTGCAGCTGGCAAGCCGCGGCTTTTGGACAACCCGGAGGTAGCTAAGAAGTCCCCCCCCCCCCCCCCCCCAAGGGGGGAGGTGATGAGATCTTGCACCCAGGTAGCAGCTTCAAAAAACGAGACCTTCGACAAGTGCAAATGGCCTCACGACGTGGCAAGAAACGCCACACCGACCACTTCCAGGGTGCAAATCAACCGTGTGTGAGCGCAATCGTAGCAATGCGGTCGAGCCGCAGCAGGTTCTGTATCTTTCCTGGGTCACTCGAGCGCACCGGAGTTCAAGACAACATGCAAGCCCCATGAACTAAGTGAAACGGTGAAACGCCGCTATTCCTAGTACTAGATGTCTGTACACTGTACAACGCCCTGACCACCTCTTGGGAGGCAGCCAGGGGAGCTGGCTATCTACTCAGGTACGATGGCAGAATTGGCATTTGGAGTGGCAGCCCTGAGTTTCCCTACTGCTCCGTCAGCAAGCACTGAGCCGATTGGCCAAGCGCTTGCCCTTCCCGTTCCGGCTGCTTTTGAAGCGCTATTGTCTCCGTGGGTTCCGCTCCCTCTGTGGGCGCCGCGGCGCGGGCCAGGGATGCTTGTCTCCACCGCCGCCTGATACCTTTGAGAGCTTGTTCACCCCGTGCACCTACCCCTGTTTGCTCAGTGAGAGGACAACTGCTTGGGCAGTCACCCTCCCCCAACCTGGCTTGGTCCAGGGGGCTATTTTGCTGCTCTGACGGTTCTTGAGGACTAGCTGGGGTGATGGCTGAGGTGATGGTTGGGGTGGTGACAGATCCCTTTCTAATGTCTGCTTCTCCAGTGGGGGGGTGCACTTAACTGTACACTGGCTTGAGAGCGGGTAGAGACCGCTGAACTAGGAGACGCTGCAGACTGGGGGCGAACCTCATTTCCATGCTGCCCGCTAGGAGACGCAGAGGACGAGTCATTGAGCACCCAGACGCTGGCCTCATCATGCTCTTCCTCTTCCTCGACCACAGGGTCTTCAGTGGCAGCTTCTTCTTCCTTATCCTCAGCTCCATCGTCTACCAGCATCTGTGAGTCAAGGCTGCTGACTTCGTGCACCGACGTCTCCTCACCACTTGTTGGCGAGGTGACTGTTGCGGCAGACAGTGCTCTGGGCTCAGAAGCCTGGGTAGGGGAGCTGTCAGCTTCTTCCCTACTGCTGATCGAGACCGGACGGTCGCAGCGGCCTTGCAGGCTGGTGATGCTGTTAGGCGATGGGAGGAGGCTCGGGAGCCTCAGTATTGGGGACTTCTAGGCCGTCCGAGGCCGGGCTGCCAGCAGGCGTATCGGCGGCGGAAGATTGCACTTTATTCAAGGTATGTGCTGCTGGGCGCCAGTAGCATCCTTGTTGGAGCATCCCTGGTGCCGGGGGCAGTAGCAGGGAGGAGCCTTCTTTATCGAGCAGCGATTCATTCCGCCATGCGTCATAAAAATATATTTTGTGGAGTGCCTCAAACTGGTAGAGCCTCGCCTTGTTGGCTGCGTCACTCTTGCCCGGTGGATAGCGGACTGTGCTGCCTACCGTGAAGCGTGAACCGCCTACTTTGCTAGCAGCATGTAGCAAGCGCCAGGCTCCGGGATGACTGGTGTCATGAACGATCAGCCAGTCAGGGTTGGGGAGCCCATCTGCCGCATAACCAAATATCAGTCCGCTACCATGGAGAGGATGGGTTTGACTCAGGAACTGGCTTTGCTCGCCTTGTGAGAGGCAACTTTCCTTCGTGAGGACTAGTCTGAGGCGCCTCACCTTTCCATTGTAGTGCTCCGCAAGGCACAGGGGGGTAGGTCCCTCCCATAAGGGGTGCGGCTCTGTGGCTTTGAGGAAGGCAGCAGTTGCAGCTCTGACGTCTGGCTGGCCGATTTCAAAGGTGCCCGCAACTTGTGCGATGCTGGGCGAAGCGTTGCTGGTGTGCAAGGTGCAAGCTCCATGCAGGAGCGCGGCAATGACTTGCGTAGCACCCTCAAGACCATGCATGTTGAGCGGACACGCTAGGACAGTAAGGTCCGTAGCTCTGCTGAGGGCAACATTAGCCCTGGTATAACACTCTTTGTCGAAGTCTGAATTGTTGGAGTGGCCACTAAGGAAGCTGGAGTTGCCATGCAGAACAATACAGTGCTTGGCGCTAGCACCTGCCACTTTGACTGCTGTTTCGACATTGGTGTTACGGCGGGACTGGTGACAGAAGCTGCGAAGGCTAGTGGCGCTTTCCTTTCTGGTTGTCAGGACTAGGATGTTGTCTTGTTCTTCATCCGTGACTGGTAACCAGGACTCTATTTGCAGGTAAACCGCTCTAGTGGATTCAGGCGGAGGGTCAGCGCGGGCAGCCTCACGAGGGTCATCCATTGCACGAACCTCAGCCCGGTGGGCTTCTCCTCGCTTTCTCGTATGGAGCTTGTTCCTTTTTGCCACAACCCATTCTTGCAACTGCAGAGCATTGGGTATTGTATGCCTATGAGAGGTTCATAGACTTCCTGCGCGACACGTGCACTGGTTGGAAGCATCACGCTCCACTGATGAACACCTGACACTCCTGACCTATCGGAGGCTGTACTGGCCTGTTGGAATTGGTAGCAATGCCCAGGCCGCGTGATCGCATACCCGGATTTGTGCAATCAAAGGTGGGGACGTCCGATCCGCCCAGGGTGCCTCTTCCAAGTCCTCCGCAATGGATCTGCACACAGTCTGGAGGCGGGGCAGTTGTAGTTGTGAGCCAGAACCCTTGATGTTGCGCCATGTGCTTGAGTACCGATGCCCAGAGGCAGGTCTTATCTATACTTGTTGTGCCTATTGCATAGATATTCAGGATCAGGGTTGCTAGGGTCTCAACTGATTCCGGCAGCGTCGGAATGGACGCTATGGCATCTCGGAAGGCTCTCTGAAACTCCTGCTGCTGGTCCTCCGGGAGGAGGCCAACTGCATGCATGACCCCCGCATGTAGGTTAGGCAGCGGCGCTGCTTGCACATATGGGAATCCCACACGCTTGGCAACAGTACTCCATGGGACAAACAGGTATGGCGCGTGCAGCTGAGGATCCGGCAGTGAGGGCTGCAAGCGATTTGCCGCCTGCGACCCTAACTCTTGGGAGTCCTGGTCTGTGGCTGCCTGCAATAGCTGTCGAGCCAGGAGTTCTGAATTCGTTTCTCGTGGGGGTTCTACTGGCTCTACGTCAGGGTCTGGTGGAGG